CAAACTTCGATTCTAATTGGATGAGATGCAAATCTTAGGAAAATCTCAAAGAAGCAAACTAGTCCTACCCTTTTATTCACTCAAATACTGTACTCGAATAAAGTTGTGTACTCACTTCTGTACAACTTATGATACTTACCAACTAACTGTGGATTGTTCACAATCCATGCGTATGCGAATAGCACCTCTTCAGTTGGTCGCGGGAATGGATTCGCTGGCGCCAAAGAATATTCAACGGACACCACTGTACAACAAAGCAGTTTTGCCCACATCCGCAAGTACGTCTGAAGATTGTTCTATACTCTGATTTGGAAAGAACAAATCTCTAAATGCTGCCAACTTCGTGTGATTTGCTAGACGTTGCCACGTATCCACCCCCGTGACAGTGAAAGACTATATATGGGGAAGCTGGTTGTTGATTAGAAGTATATGTGGGAGACTGTAAAAATAATTTGCTTTAGAAAATTTACTCCCTGAGAAAAGTCAAATAAGTAACCATGTGAGGCCTGTGCACTGGCGAGAGGATGCGTATTTGTACAGGCCGTGGTCCGGTATGAGCAGAAGGTTCTGGTATCCGAACTTTTCCTCCCTTAGTGGTTTCTAGCGAAATAGGTCCTACCCAGTTGATTTCTCGAAGCTCGTTGATTGCCATGTTCGGGCTGAACCACTTTGGCACATTCTGAAGAATTAAGTCTTGTTTGTACTAATACAAAAGGAAATAAACTTACATTACTCAGCTCTGCCAGATTCCAAAATCCCTTGCAGAAGTCTATATCCGCTTCCTTAGTAACCTATTGAATCAAACACTTTAAAATGATTCTAAAGTGGTAAATCCAGGAAATAACCTTAATTATACGCGAAGCCCGTTGTTCTGGACTGAGAAGGAACCTGCCTGTGTTGATTATAGAACCAATAGGTCCATGCCCCTTCTCCCAGGATAGGCTATATGAGGCAAGGACTATGCCAATTAGACGAAATATTCTATTTACAGAAGGTGAGAACTGAAATAAATCACATTGTTATAGAAAATATGATGTTTTCAGTCGAAACTTACTTGAAAGCCCAAAGGACGACCATAGAAGCAGGTAG